AGAGAGAGAGAGCAGGCGAGAGTTTACGCTTTTTGCGCCAATAGGCTGACGGCATTCAGGTTTTATTACTTATGCTCACAATTCGTTCATTCGACGTCGCGGCGCCTGTCTCCACGCGCCTGACCCGACGACGCTCTCTCCCTTCAGTCTGCCCCCCCTCTCACCGTCTCTCATCTGTCCACGTCTAACTCACCTTTCTGTCTGTCTGTATGTCTGTCTGTATGTCTGTCTGTATGTCAGTTGATTGCTTGTTCAAGCTCACCCTTTCGTCGGCTGAGGCGCTCTCGCCTTTCCGGCGCAGGCCCACCAATGTCTCTGTCCGCCCGGCACAAGCCGAAGCAAAACACGCTCTCTTCAGCAGCCACGGTCTCTACGTGTCGAGCCGACGCCATGGGGACAGGTGGGACGAAATGGGTGACATCTGAGGTGAAGCGGCGAGACAAGCAGGCGGCCTGTGCACGAGCGCACACAGCGGACGGACGCTTGAGTCTAGGCCAGACGTGACAGACAAGCGACAGGCACCGCAGCCTCTTGTCCCTTCCCCCGTCGGCCAGAGGCAATGCAGCCTTAAGCCAACCAATCAGGACTGGCCGCCTCGTCCGGGCCCAGACACCGGGACCGTGGCCCGACCCCCCTCCCGCCTGACGGCCGTCTGCGCGCAGCCGTTCCAGCCTGCCCCAGTTTCGCCAGCCTCCCACTTGCTCCGATTGTCCCAATCCTCCCGCAATGCGTCTCCTCCCCTCGTCACGACCAGACACGCAGACACACTCGGCAATACACGCACACAGGCGCACACAAACACCCAACAGCAACACACCAACGCGTGTGTACAGATGCACACAGTGACACGCTGCACGCAGAAGAATCGATCTCGTGTCTCCTCCGTTGGCTTGGACGACTCAGCCTATCCGTCTCGGGTGCCAGACAGATGCACACGTCGCCGAGGCAGTTCAGTGTGCAATCATACCGGCGTCATCAGTTCGTGGGCCACAATGTGCATGCATGCCTACGGGTTCGCGGCAGCCTGACCAGCTCCACGTCACCCTCTCTTGGTAGGCCGACCGGGTTGCCTTGACACCAGCCAGCCAGCCAGCCAGCCAGCCAGCCAGCCAGTCAGCCAGTCAGCCAGTCAGCCGACTTTCACACCCCAAACACACTCGGCGCTGGCCAGCCCCGCTTTAGACTTCGGTGTGCACACGGAATAGGCGTAGCTCCCAACTGGACGGACACTCTTGTCGTCAACGCCACAGTTCCGTCTCACCGTTGAGACAGCCGCAGCCTTCAGCGCGGTTGCCGCTTCCTCATTCGCACCCTTTGCTTGGCGCGTCCCCCCCTCCCCGGCCGCCAACACTTGGATATAGCATTTCTCCTGTGCCCATTCGTGTCGAGACAGACCC